TAGACAGATTGGATACTACTCAGTGGAGATTCTACCTTCCTCCATGCCCTCTGGATCTAGGTTCCCTCTTGAAAGCTTGTAAGTCAGTCACTTCTTGCCTTTGTAGCCCCCCATTTTGGGTAGCCAATGTCCAAGTTGTCCATCCCTGTCTACTCTGTGTATGGAAGGGATGGGAATGATCCTCACTGTAAAGATTTGTTCCCTCTTTTGTGTACTCTACTCTTTAAACAAAGATTTCTTAAGCTTTGAACAAATTTCCTGGATTCCCTGAGCCTCAGTTTCATCCTCTGTACCAAGACAATACCCAGTCCATAGCAAGCTGTAAGGATTTAGTGAGAAAGCAAATTTGCCTTTCCTATAGATATGAAAATATATAATGCATTCATGTTGACATTTTATTTTTTTTAGGTAGATAAACAGAGTTTATTCTTCAAGAAGCTGCATTTTAAAGGTTATAAATGTGAATTCAAATATTTTTTCATGATTTCAGAACAGGATATCAGGAAGTCCCACCCTCCTGGCTCACTGTGTCCTATGAAACATGGATCTCAATTTCAGTGTAGGTTGGGGTGGGGTGGGGTGGAAAAGTCAAGATTTGCCATCATGCTCTCATTTAAAGATGTACAATGGAGGGTGGGAGGAGTGAGGCATGTGCATCTAGATGAGAAAAATTTATTTTCACAACTAGATATCATTTGAGCAGAAAAGCAATAACAAAGCTATAACGAAAAGTCAAAGAGTTAAAATTAATCTTTTTTCCTTAACATAAAGTCAAATGAAATCCTTTCCTATCTAACAATCTTTATCGATAACTATGTGGAATCAGTTGGCTGAAAGAACTGTATCTACTTTTCAGATAAAGAAATTGAGGCTGAGAAGAATGCGCTAGTATGTCCACAGATGTACAGATAAAGAATACATCTGAGAAACTGCACCAGGTCTACCATTTTTTCCAGTTAATGCTGTCTTTGAAATGATGTAACTTTTCCCTCTAAACAGAAGCCTTAGAGAGAGTGGTTAATCAATGACTATCATGTGGTCATAGAGCACTTTAGTAATTATTGTTGTTTTCGTTAATTGCCATTTAGTCAATTTCAATGCCTACAGACCTTCGAAGAAGTGGCTGGTGAGTTTGAACTGCTGAACTTGTGGTTCCAACCGACTTTGTGGTCCAGTGCTTTATTCCACAACACCACACCAAGACTCCTCTAGCAATTATAGGCTGGGCTATAAAACAGAGATCCTACACTATATCTTCTCTGCTGCCAACAGGGCAGACTAAGCTCACACTGCCTTGAGTGTATAAAAGCTTTTGGAGATTTTATGTGATTTGTTGTACACAGCCACTTTTCTCCTTTTCTACCACACAAGGTCAGTTTTAACTACAAGGTCAAACTCACCAGCCACTCCTCAGAAACCCTATATAGGATTGCTATGAGTCAGAACCAACAGCCACTTCAACCCCTAAAATATATGACAGTGTAGGTAAGCAATTTATTAAAGAAATAACCTTAAATCCTCTCTATATAGAGAAGACTGAAAGTTGTCAAAGAGCTAATTTTGCTTGGATACACTATCAACACTCATGGAAGCAGCAGTCAAGAAATCAAAGGACATACTGCACTAGGCTATTCTGCTGCATAAGACTTCTTTAAAGTGTTCAAGAGCAAAGAGATCAGTTTAAGGACTAAGGTTAGCCTGGCCCAAACCATGGTATTTTCAATAGACTTATATGCATGTGAAAGTTGGACAATGAATAAGGAAA